TTGTAGCACCTCGCGAAGACCAACTTGGTCCCAGTCTAGGCCTATGTTGGGCCGCGCCATGGGCCATTTTTCCCGAGCTAAATCGGTTTCGTGGGCCATACACCACTCTGTGAAGATATTATCTTCCGTTCTAATTATAAGACTTTATTTATAAATTATAAATGAAGTCTTATAATTAGGATTGGATATAATATTAAACTTACCCTTGCACCAACGGAGAGTCTTGCAGAAAGGACTAATTTTTTATAACGTAGTGTATTAAGATTTGAATCCTTATTAGAAAAAATGTTCATATTTAATATCTGACAGTGTTTCGAATAAAATTGTCTTCAAAAAAAAATACCTATACATAGCAACAAAAAAAATTGGCCTAGCCTATCTTTAATATCTAGCTATGAAGTATATATTTTCTATCCTTGGTATTCTAATAAAAATTAGTCTCTGTTACTCCTCCGGTCCTTAATATAGGACCCAATTGTTAAGTTGGTTTTAGTCCTAAATATAAGACCCATTTTTCATATTTATAAATTTTTTCTAAATTATCCCTATGGATACTCTCTCAATCATAATCAGGTAGAAGAGGAAGATGAGGTATTAAGAAAGATGATTATGATATTTTAGGAAAAACGTGTCACATTTCTTATAATTAACTAAGTTAACTAACTTCCTTAATCTAATCAAATTAGTTAAATGGGTCTTATATTAAGGACTGGAGGAGTATTAGCAAATGACATTTTATGTATAAAAAAAGTTATATTAAAAATATTACTCCTCTGTCACTTTTCATAGGATCCAAATAATCGAATTGTGTGGTTTAAGAAAATTGTAAAAATTAGTTACAAGTAATGAATGTATAGGAAATATACTTGTTTTCTTTCCAATATGCTCTTATTTATAAATGACTAAATGAGAGAGAAAAAGAAAGATGAGAATGTATGGGAAAAAAAAGATAATAAAAAAGAGCATATTAATTTAAACTGTATAAAAATATATATTTAATATTCAAATAAATTAAAAGAGAATCTGATAAAAAATGAATGAACTAATTCAAAAATCTGAATCTTATAATAAGAGATTGAGGTAGAAGTATATTCTGTGGATATCCAGAAACCTCCAACTCATATAATTGTAACTTTCATAAATCAAACCTTCCGAAAAAAACGTGGCCATACACTTTCATCCCACATTCATGAATCCAAGACCAAGACATCAAAAGACCTTTTATTAACCATACGTTTGGTATGAGAAAACCGGAAAGAAAGGAAAATGAGAAAAAAAATTTAATGAGTTCATTTTAAAAAAATTAGAAAATTCGGGTTATAGAACTTTAATAAAAAGAATATGTAAGATAAAAGAGCAAGAAAATTTAATTAAAAAACTCGTAATCCCACTTCATTAATTTTTTAAATAAAACTTATTAAAAATTTTCTTCTTTTCCCTTTCTCTCAAATTCTCTCATACCAAACAGACCGAGTTTCTCTGTAAGGGTGCATAAGTTTAAGACTTTTCGTATTTGTCTGCATGAATTTGTGATAATATTTTATTATATAAATATATAATTATACATCTAATTTATTTTTTTTGTAAATTTTTATTTTCTTAAAATATATATATTAAATAAGAGTAAAGTTGATAAGTTATTAAATTTTGAGACAATTAACAAAAAATTAAAAAAAAATTATCATGATAAAGCATATTAAACATGGCTTATGAAAATATGTTCTACATTGATCCATCATATCCCTTCAAATATTGTTTAATGATAAAAAAACTTACAAACAGAAATCTTGCATATGATACTATACACATGGAGATCAAAAGAATAAGAGTTCTTCTCCATCTGTCATTTCTATATTTTCTCGTGCTCTTGTACCTCTTATATTTCCACACTTTATAAGAAAGTCAGAATTCCCATCCCTTTTTATGTGCTCTTTAATTTTTTTCTTTTAAATGAACCTCGTGCAATGTTGCGTGGGGTTAATCTGTAGACGATAAAAGGAAAATGAAAGTTATGCTTTAACATGAATTACAGCAACATTCACAATCATTACTATAACTTAACTTTTTCTACTTTCTCTTTTTCTATGTACAGTTATGTTTATATTAAGTGCATACTGCCCAATACTAAATATAAATACATATTTCAATATAAATTTAAATTTTGATTCATTATATTGTGAGGGACTAACTCGTTCTATTAAGTGGGTGCTGAGATGAAAACCAAACAATGGTTTTAAAAGTGATTTTACGGTATATGAAGTAAATATATAGATGACTTTATCTCAATTTATGAAAAACTGCTTTTCAGAAGCATTTTTATATGATGCCAAGCACTCCCTAAATCTAACTTCTATTCCACTTCCTTTTTTTTGTCTTTTTTCATTCATCATTCTTTCTCTTTTTATTTATTCTTTCAACAAGCACAAAATTTTGGTTGAACAAAAGCTACATGTACATGTTCTTCCTCTCATTCACGGCAATGTCATTTTAAAGGTAGAAGTTATTGACCAGAAAGAATTTCATTTACTATGTGCTGGGACTCTGGAAGTCAAGACAAATTTTAAATTCTTAATAGCCTTTAATCTCCAAAAGACCAAAACGGGTACAAATATGTGCAATTATCAACACGGGCTTCAAAAACTTTATGGTCAACCCTGGTCCCTTTCATTCATAGTTATATTCTCTCGCGTATACTCTTCCAGTTTTAAATATAAAACTCATTTTATAGTGCAAATACTATTTTATAGTGCAATTTGTATTATAAAATGAATCTTATATTTAGGATCAGATGAGTACTTTAATAAACAGGAAAATAAAACTACTTTTAATCACATCCGATAATACTTAAATTTGATTCATAATATCAAATAATCATATATTTATATTAAAAATATAGCCCCATAAAAAATGAAAAAAGCGGTTTAATTAAAGCATCTAAATTCAAAAGTCATAAGTACTGTGTAGCATTGAAAATTATGATAACTTCTTACTTTTATTTGTTAAGAAAATGCAATCCCCTTTGTTCATAATGTATTTCCTTAAAAACTCATATCAATATCAAAAGTCACATTTTTTAAAATTATAGATCAAAATAATTATGCATTACTTTCCCCTGTCAAACCATTTTAAAATTTTAAATAAAAATAAATATTTTTTGGCCAAAAATAAAAGTAAATATTGAAATTCTAAATGTAATTATTAATATGATATATATATATACACACACATAAACAACCATATAAAATAAACAATCCGCGACAAAAAAAGAAATTAGGCGAGCCTGGATTTTAACCCAATGCACTTAATGGATTAAGGGATCTATAGATCGATAAAATAAATAACCAAACCAAAACTAAGCAAAACTCAGTTCTCATGCTTCACCGGGCAATGCGAAGAAGAAGTGATTTTACATTATATATAAGCTAAATACGATGATCAATTTTACTCCTAAATATAAGACCTATTTTCTAATATAAATTATACTATAAAATGAGTTTTATATTTAGGACCGGAAAGAGTATCTTATAAAAGAAATAAAAATAACTTTTAGAAGTCAAACCAAATCACCCCTCAATTCTAGTTGGATGAGGATTAAAATTTGAATGATGAACACTATTTTGATAGATTCAATATAAAAGTAATTTTCTCATGCGAATGGTTACATGTTTACAATGTTTCACACAACATTTTGCGTTGAACGCAAACATGGTTTCGGATTTGGATCCTCTCAGGATCCTTCTTTCTCCTTTTCTTCTCAGAATCTCATCTCTACCAATGGATCAAATAATAGATGGTTCAGATTTAATATTTTAAAAAACAGATGTCCACCTTCTCTCTCCTATTTATGTAATGTTATAATAATAGTTTTATAAAGTATGAAATCTGAACCATTCATTATTTGATCCAATGGTAGAGATGAGATTCTGAGAAGAAAAGGAGAAAGAAGGATTCTGAGAGGATCCAAACCCCATGGTTTCATTACCACTATTGAGCTTTCTAGTTGGGCCCCCAAAAAAAAAATCTACTATTTTTTGTTAAATTTCTAGGTGGGGAAAGGGCAATAATGATACTCAAATCTCAAAACATTAACTTCACAACAATTTAGCCTCTAAAAAATTATACGAAAGAGGTGTAGCAAATATTGATTCAGATAATTATAAATAAGAGAATTTCAGTAGCAAATCAATAGAAATGATTTATAAAACTTAAATGCTTGATTTTTAAGTAAAATTCTCATATTTGCGACTATCTCAGATGATACTTCAAAGGGAAATTTGGTTAAACCTATTTATTTAAAATTTTTATTGGCCAGAGAGCTTTGGTACAACTTATTTTTAACACGTATGGCTCTTCTTTAACTGCATACACTCTATCTTTAATTATGTGTAAAAAATTTTACAATGAAAATTACTCTCTCTATTCCTTATTATAAGAGACGAATAATCAAATTACGTACCAAATTACGTTGATTAAAAAAATAGTTAAAATTAGTTAAGAACAATCAATGTATAAAAAGTATAAACTTTTTTTCCAAAAATGCCCTCATTAATAAAAAGAGAGAGCATGAGAGAGAACAATTAAATTATTAAAAGAAAGAGAAGTGGGAGGGAGAAAGAGTGTGAGTTGGAGACAATAAATATGGGTAAAATAGGAAATTAACACAAAAAAGTAGAGACAACTTTTAAATATCTCTTATATATAGGAACATGCCATAAGTATCAAATGTCTCTTATAATAAGGAACGGATGGAGTACTTACACATAACTAAAGATATGATTGTGCCATTCAAATGTAAGCCCCTCTAATCAATAAAAATTCTAAGTAAATACTTTTAACCAATTTTTTCTATCTGTAATTTACCTTTCTTGAAAATTTTAGAACTTAAACAGTAATTAAATTAATATTTTGAGACTTAAATATCATTAAATAAGTTAACTATTAATTATTACTATTATTAACGGTTGCCGCGCGCAAACCTAAATTTCCTTTTTTTTTTTTTTGTCCTTGTACTAAGGAAAACTAAATTTCTAAATCCCTCTGATTGGACGATTTCTTCAACTTGCCTGCTCGTCGACGACCAGGGCGTGGACTTGCATGTTGCCGGGCCCATCTGCCGGTGCCTGAGCTCCGGCGGGTTCTCCTACTTCACTCCTCCCATTCGAATTCAAACTCGGATTTGTGGATTTCTCTAGCAGCGAATGGCGACAGTTGGGGCAAGAAGAATGTGACAAAAGCCATGTGTCTATGCACCTCACATGGAACCCGTGATTGCATTTTGGCAGCATTCGCACCTTATCTCCTTTCTCGAACTCCCCGAGGCATATCGGGCACTCCGTCGCCGGTATGTTCGCCCCGGGCCCGTACTCTTTCACCGGAATCCGGCTCAGGTGACGTTTCTTCAGGCCCGTTGAGGCAAGCCTGGCAGCTGTTTGTTCTGTGGTCTCTGTGGAAAATCTTTGGCTACAACGCAACACACATCGCACCATCGAGTTCAACCCAAGCGCGCATATTAATGCGCACAACAAAGCCGCCAGTATGATCACCATGTTCGCGTCGAAGTTTACATCTCGCACGAACGATTCATGGGTCTTATTCCTATATGCCGGAGACACACTTAGCCCGGCGTCGAGAAGACGGCGATGCATATTCACCGCTCACAGGTTTTCGCTTTCTGATGGATCTTAAACCGAAGTAAGGATTTCGAAGGGCTTTGCTTGTGTCTTCAACTTCGAAGCACAAAACCGGTATTCACTTCTGCTTCTTGGATGGCAACTGGGTTTTGTGTTGGAGCAAAATTTGAAGCACCCACCGCTAAGAATTTTTATTGGTGTCTGAACTTTGAAATCATGGAATGTTACTGGTTTCGGCTTCTTGACTAGAAACTGGTTTCCGGTTCACTGATACTACGGCTCGTGACAAATTTACTTATGGGTAGAAACAGAATTTGTAGCAGCTACGGGTAAGGACTGATCTGATGGGTTTTCTTGACTCTGAACTTTGAAATCTGGGAATGATATCACTTTCTGCTTCTCGACTACGAATTGATTTTGAGTCTCTACTCAGCTGTGGCAGATTTTCTGTTGGATATATGGGGTTAAAATCTGAAGCAGCATCTACTAAGGATTGGTTTGATGGTTCTTCTTCTTCTTCTTCTGGGTGAATTTTGAAAACCAGGGATGGTATTTCCTTTGAGCTTCTCAAGTAGAAACTGATTTGTGAGTCATGGCAGCTTGGTAGTGAAGATTCCTGCTTGGAAAGGGACACAGAACAAGGTGAGATATAGAAGCATCTTTGATCTTTCGCCCCCCCCCCCCACTTTCCTGTCTACAGGGATAAAGGGAGAAAAAGAGAGTGGTGAAATTGGTTTCGTGGGTATACTGTTATCCAAACTGGGGACCGTTCTGTTCTGGTGTTTGATTCCCAGCTTCCTCCTGATCAGAAATGGTCCCGTTTAGCTAGCAAGCTAGGCTGCTTCGTTGAGCAAGATTGCCAGAGAAGATTGAGAGAGATTTGTGGGGGAACTAGAAAATCTCAAAGGCCTTTTACTGAAACCCCAGATTTAGGTTTTTGCCATAACATGGCAAGTCACCCACAGGTTACTTCAGACGCAGGGAAATAGCAATACACACACGCACACATATATAATATAACAGACAAGTGGGTGTATTGTTCATAAATAGGGTCTACTCCGGTCTTAGGAAACACCACATGCGCCCGACACAAAATTTAAAGTCACAAAAGGCAAAGGGATCAGTCGTCCATGTGCTAAAGAAATTTAGTTATTGCTCATACCAAGAGTTAATCTACATATAAACATGGAAAAAACAAGTAGGCGCCAAACAAAGAATTAAATCCCATTTACATGTTAACCTCTGTGATAAACATTTTGCTACAATCTTCTAAATCTAATATATTGTTAGAAGAAAAATTTATTGGTGATTAATTTCTTTATTTAATATTATCTTATAAACTTTTCAGGTTGACATCTAGTGCTTATCACATCAGTGAGTATTGCATGTTGATTAACATGATGAAATTTAGACCGTTTAAATCTAATTTGGATAATAGATGTTTAAAACTTTTACATTTTACTATTTTAATTTGATAGATTTATTTTTTGAGAAGTGACATTTATAAAATTATATTTAATTTAAATTTTGTATAAATTAAAGTGAAAAAAATTGAAATATGAAAATTGAATTAAATTAAATTGGGTTGATACAATATTTGGTCTGTTGAGCTTAGATTCATTTTGGTTTTGATCCTTTAAATTTCAAACCATAAGTTTTAATCTCTTAATAGGAAAAATGATCCGAGTTTTTATCAAACTAAAAGAACAAATATTTTAAATGAAAAAAAATTTAAAGGATTAAAACTAAAATAAAAATAAACAATTTAATATTAATGTAGATAGTGCAGGTTAATAATGAGCACCCACGTACATGTGCTCCTACTCGTGTCTCGTGATATGCTCGCTCTGGTTTGCCACGTAAAATGGCGTTTTGGCAAAAGCAAAAATCTTGCTTCTCTCTGCTTAAAAAAAAAATTTCTCTCTCCAGAATGATATTTTGCGGTGACATGACCCCATTCTTTTTTTTTTTTGGCCAAAAGTGACATGACCCCATTCTAAACAACACTCGTTTGCAGGTAGGATCAGTAAATTGGCTTCCTTTATCAATTTTTTAATAAAATTATAACACATAATTTTTTGAGCAAAATAACGCATAAATTTTAATTATAAAATATGAGATTATATTTGTACTTGCAAATACAATTATAATATTATTACAAACCATAAAAATATAAAAAAGGGTAGAAGTCTCCTACTAAAAATTTTGTTAGTGAAAATGATCTAAATTAAAACATTGGTTCTTTCTGTATACAAAATTTTTGGAGCACCAAGTGTAAGAATTTATCGGATCATTTTCTCCAACAGAATTTTTAATTAAATTTTTTTTCTCAATTTCTCCAAAAAATCCTAATTAAGTTTTTTTTAAAACATTTTTGTCATGGACTTAAAGTGTACTTTTTTTAATGTTGCACCAAAATTTTGGTGGAAAAAAGAGTTTCTTTTGTGAAAATGGCCCAAAAATATTATACTCCTCCGGTCCTTAATATAAGACCCATTTAACTAATTTGATTAGATTAAGGAAGTTAGGTAAATTAGATAATTATAAGAAAAGTGACACATTTTTCCTAAAACACCATAATCATCTTTCTTAATACCCACTCTCCTTCTTCTACTTGATTATGATTGAGGGAGTATCTATAGGGGTAATTTAAAGAAAATTGAAAAATATGATAAATAGGTCTTATATTTAAGACCAAAACCAACTTAAGAATTTGGTCTTATATTAAGGACAGGAGGAGTATTATATATTGATAGAGGAGATTTGCCTACCTAAGACCTAAAAGACAATAATTAAGAAACTAATGGAATGGAATCATGAACAGTTTGGTATCAAATCCAAGGGGCAAATGCGAAATGACATTGGTTATATGTAACTGTCCATGTTGCGGCAGTCTCATTAGCCTTAGATTTTTGTGACTTTTTGACGTGTGATGAAGCAAACTCACTTGGCACATTTGTATCAAAAGTGGGAAGAGCATAAATAAAAAGAAAAGAAAAAGTAAAAGGGGAGGGGAAATAAAAATCATCAACCCCACTAAAATATCTCTACCTTCCTTTCACTGTTCGTGTTAGGCGGCTTATCGTACCTAGCAAGCTGCTAACTGATATTTTGTAGCTTCTTTTCTTAGATTCTTTCTATTTTTTTTTTTGGTGATGAAAAAAAAAACTTTAGTTGATTGGAGATCCAAAATCACCATAAAATTTTTGTACTGGTTAGTACTACCTCTTGTTCCTAATATTACTTTCGACTCTTAATATAAAGTTTTATTTGATTTTTATTTTGATCCTAAATATAAAACTTCAATCCATTTTATCTCTCATATTTATATATATTTTCAAAGATAGTTCTTCTAATAATAAGAGTTCTAACCAATACACTTGATTAATAAGGATATTTTAGGAAAGACAACACCTATTTATTACAAATAATTAACTTAACTTCTTTCCTTAATCTCCTCAAATTAGTCAACTAACTCTTCTAAATAGGACCAGAGGTAGTATAAAAGTTAATAAAAATTAGTTAACTAATTTGAGTAGATTAAGAAAACTAGTTAGGTTAATTATTTGTGATAAGTAAGTGTTGTCTTTCTTAAAATACCTTTACTAATCATGTATATAGTTAGAACTGCCATTTGATGAAATATTTAATATGTGCAACTACTACAAGAATTACTTTGAGAAAAATAGATAAATATGAGAGACAAAGTAGATTGAATCTTTTATTTAAAACTAAATTGAATATTAAACTAACTTTTACATTAAGGATCAGATGCTGTATATGATATTTTTCATTTGGATTGGAATTTTGATGTCTCTAATGGGAACAAGGTATCAGTCATGATTCGTGAATTATGTTGTTTATCATAAATTGCAATTTAGATGATCATGGAATTTCTGGTCCACTTCTCTTGTTCTTATGGGTCCGGTATATGTTATTTGTGATAAGAAGAATAGAATTTAGATCACATATCTTTGTATTGATTCGCACCTGTCGATCAACCATCAGTTTTAATCGGTCCACATCATACCATCATCACATGATCAACCTGGTTGAGAATCTTTATTTTACAGAAGTTGGGTATGCAAACATGGTGCCAAAAAAAAAACAAAGGATTTTATTTAGGGTAAAATAGTATATTTAGCATTTTGGTGTTATTTTCCATATATATCTAAACCTTAATCTTTTTTTTTTCTTTTTAACATCCAGTATTTTGATTTTTTTTTTATGCATTTAGCGTCATTGATATTATTTTTTAATTGTATCTAGTATCCTTATTTTATTTATAATTTATGATACTGAAAATATTATAAATAAAATGAAGGTGTTAGAACTACTAAAGAAACATTAAAGTACTACATGTGCCATCCTTCATAGTGGTAGGGTTTTTCAATTTCAAGAAATTGACGTTGAGAGTCTTGATCACTTTTGTTTCCTCCTTATAGGAAGGCCTTCAAACACACATTTATAGGATGAATCCACAAAATCTGCCTAAATTTGCTGCACTCACAAAATTAATGAGATGTGAACAATCACACTAAAAAAGCTCATTATATTCAAATCTTAGTTAACAGTAAAAAAAGATTAATCTAGTTGATAAATATATAATTTGTAAGGATACATGTTCAAATTTTGATGTGTCATTCTTAAATACTATCTCCGGTCCTTAATATAAGATTTCGTTTGACTTTTGTTTTGATATTAAATATAAGACCCCAATTTACTCTGTCTTTCATATTTATGTATTTTTTTTCAAGATAGTCCTTCTAATAATGATAACTTTAACTAATACACTTGATTAGCAATAATATTTTAGGAAAGACAATACATATTTATTATAAATAACTAATTTAACTTCTTTCCTTGATCTCCTCAAATTAATCAACTAGCTCTTATAATTAAGATCGGAGGTAGTATTTTTTAAGTGCTTTTTAAGTTGTGAGATGTCTTCATTCTAGTGAACCTTTGCAGATTCAACTATTAACCTTTTTTTTTAAAAAAAAAAAAAACCTATTAGCCCTCCAACTCTGTGTTTGTAATGACTAGCAGTGACGTGGCGAAGCCTTTTGCGTTCAACTCCTCCTTCTCCTTCGAAGGATCCACCACATGTCAATTTCTAAGTTCAGAAGAGCACAAAGTGTTAGAGTAAACATTATTTTTACATTCATTCTTGCGATACTCAGAGAAACTGAGGACAAGCCCTCATCCTTGCTTCTTCTAAGGCCGCCGTGCATCTGGTCGAAAGCTACCCTTGAAGCAATCCTACAAGCGGTGGCAATGATTTGCTCGGTGAGGTTCACAGTAGAATTAGCTTCTGCAGATTCCATTTGCACGTGTTAATTCAAAAGCGCAAGCAGATTCAAACAAAATAATCAATCAAGCCTTCAAATATATATGGAAAAGAAAAATACTAGATGCTGAGAGGGAATCTATTTAATTTGAAGAGTTTCCAATAAGCTCAAGGAGAGACAAGACCGCAACCATAAAGTTTACGCGCTTGTATAAAATTAGCACTGGGAAAATGAGCCGGCCCGTCACGGGCTCGGGCCTAAACGGACCAGCCCGTTTAAGCCTGATTCTCAAAAACATGCTAATTTTTCAAGCCCGGCCCGTGGGATAACAGGCTCGGGCTGGCCCGCGGGCTTTTAGCCCTTTTAACTACAAATTTAATTTTTTCATGTTTCTTGCATATTTAATTTCATGTTTCTTGCATATTTAATCAAAATAATAAAATTACTAATAAAAGATATAAATATTAATAAATTATGTCACAAATAGAAACACCATCATATATAAACATTCAAAATATCCATCACATCGCAATAAAATCCATTAAATAGACAAACTAAATGGAAGAGTGAAGACAAAGATAAACAACCAGATAAACATTAAGTTCACAATAAACAACTAAAGCATAGAGTTCATGTCAAGCAACATCAGGCTTCAAGTGACAGTGGCAACTTCATTTTTTCGAAACTTCATCATCACTATCATCAATTGCAAGGATATTTGATTGTACTTCACTATTAATCGGCTCTTCTTGACTTCTAAAAATATCAATGATTTCTTCTCCATCATCAATATCACATGCATTCTCTGCAACAAATAATAAACTACAATCATAGACAATTGAGCAATTAAAAGCATAAATAATTGTAATAGAATACTTATAAATTAGTGAATTACCTTTATATGCAAATCCATGCAACCAGTTACGAGCACAAATGAGAGCCTGAAGGTTTGTTGGAAGAATGGAACTTCTATA